TTATAGTTGTTGGTTAATTCATCTTCAAGGTCACAAAGATAGGGATTGTGCCCCAAACACAGCTTCCTTTGGATACCTACAAGCCGAGCTAGGAGCCGTCTTTTTTTTTTGGAATAAACAGCCAAAAACTTGGCGATTCCAGGAAATAAGAGAGGACTTAAGGTGAGCTGATTTCTGACTAGCATGGCCATCTCCAGTACTCTAATTAGCATGAATAAAATCAGGGAAATCAGGGTGAGACATCCACATTGCTTGGAACCTAAAAGCAGTACAATCTCTCGCAGGATAGTGGTTGGATTCTAAAGAGACCAGAATAGGACAGTGGTCAAAGTTCACTCTAGGAAGATGAGATAGATGAGCCTCTAGGACTAAAAGCCGCCAACTAATGTTGCACATACCCCTATCAAGCCTTTTCCAGATAATACCCTCAGCATTCCTCTTATTGCACCAAGTAAATTTAGCACTAGAGAAACCCAAGTCCACAAGTTGATTACGATCAATCCATTCAACAAAGCTTCTACCACCCTAGTCCAGGTTGCCTCCACATTTTTCATCTGCACTCACAATGTCATTAAAATCACCTAGGACCATCCATGGCAGGTGGGAGGCACGGGCAAGGCCATCAAAGTATTTCCACAGGGATTCTCTAATTCTCTGGCAAGGATTAGCATACACCACAGTGAGGAGCCACCACTGATTCTCCAAAGTCACTAAAGCAGTAATAGATTGACTGGAATGGGCAACAACATGGAGAGACACAGAGTTACCATTCCACAATAACCAAACACCCCCAAAGAAACCAGTAGCATCAACAATGTGATAGTGAGAGAAACCCAAATTTTGAGCAACAGTAAGGGCCCTAGACCCACATTGTGTTTGTGTGATTCTAGTCCCTTAAGGAGTAATTTGAGTCACTTAAGTGTTGGGGAAATTGAATTGGAAAAGTTCGAACTTCCATTTTCGGGTTGGGTGGATAGAGCAATTTTTCTAGTATGCGTGTTTATGATTTTGGTTCCATTTTGAGTTTTTAATGAGGTCTAATGATAGGTATGAACTTTAGAAGAGTTTTAGAAGCCTTGTGAACAACTTGGAAGTGATAGAATGGTTGAAAACAACTTAGAATCAAATATGGAAATTTTCATTTTCTGGAAATTTGCAGTCCACGAGCCTCACTTTGGTTATCTTTTTCTCCCAATCCTTTGAGTTTTTGAGGAATCCATTTGTTGTGTTTTAACCTATACTTAGCAAGGAACAAAAAAAAATTGGTTTCATCGAATTTGGTTGAGTTTTGATACGTCAAACACATGTGCAAAGTTTGGAAAAAATCTGTTTTCTGCAGAAAACCAGCCACGACTCCAAATTTGGAACTAGTTTTCTCCTTCGTTTTAGCTCCATTTTGAGTTTGGTTTGTTGGGCTAGAAACTAGAGAGATTAAGCTTCAAAACCACTGCAAGGTTGCCCAATTTCGTTAACTTTAGGTTGGTCAAAACGTCTCACAAAGTCTGGGTTTTAGTATGGAAAAAACAGGGGAAGTTAAAGATTTTTTGGAATATGATGAACAGTAATCGGAAAACAAGCCTACTCGCGGCTTCGGCACGTGGCAGCTATTCTGGCAGCCTCCGACGCCATATTTTTAGTCCATCCGACTCAATTTCTCGATCTGAGTCTGATGGTATAAGTTTCAAGTCATTTTGAGGGTTGTAGCTTAGAGAGGGTACCACACTCTCCATGTTAAGAGAAAAAGTTTTTTTTTTAAAATTAGAATTTCTAACCTCATTTATGTTATATTTTTCAAATCTAGGAACGGGAGTAAACCCGGCAACCTCCGAAGGGTAATTTCGTCATTTTAGCTAATTGGGACACGAGGTAAGGTTTCCTAAATCCCCAATGATTATACTATATCACTTTTAATCTTGGTGTTTATATATAGCATTATAAATATGAATAGTATTGTTGTTTTGTTTAGTGAATATTATTTGATGTTAGGTGAATACGATTGTTATTGTTTAATGAATATTATATGATGTTGGATGAATAGTATTATTGATATTGCTCCGTGGATATTATTTGACGTTTGATGAATATTATTATTCATGGGATTAAACTTGAAATATTTTTGTTCTTATCTGTATTACTATTTTTGCAGAGATTGATAATGTTTGAGTTGCATTACATATGCATCATAATTATGACTCTGTGTTGGGTCGATGTGTGTGTGTCGTTTGAGGTATATCTAAGGGGTGGGAGAAGGCCTTAGATATATTTGAGTTTAAAAAAAATGTGGAATATATTTAGGTGACGGGAGCAGGGCTTGAATATATTGAGGTGATGGAAGCAGAGCCTCTAATGAAAAGTGAACATTGAGAAATTCGTAAACAAAAGAAAAATGGGTTAAAGGATGGATGGGCACTAGTTCATATTTTAGGGTATTCGAAGCCACAATGGTAAAATGCATGGTATGGGACATGCAGGCTTGTTGCCCTAAGGTATGAGTTAGTGAGATTAGAAGAGAGTGAGTTCATGGCATCATCGCATATGCAAATTTATTTATCTGGTCTGATTACATGATTTATATATCTTGTGTTGTTTGATGTATGACACTTTGATTAACTATGATAGCTGACCTTGAGGGGTTTGACGGTACTCTACTAGGCATTAGAATGCCCATACCCTAATAGATTATGCAAGATTCAAGACGAAGTTTGAGGAAGCGGGTTTCAACTAAGTTGCTAGGCTTTTGTTGTTGATTTGTGTAATTAATGTTTGTAAGTAGTCAACCATAAAAATCTTAGTGTGTATTTAACTACGAGCTACTACGACTTTGATTTTGGTGTTGTTAAGTAAATTTGTATTATTTTGTGGCTCTATTTCTCATCATATCATGGTTGTAGGATTTTATTCTTATGACTATGGTATAACTCACACCATGATTCGGAAATATTCCTTATTTTCGAATTAGATCGTGACAGTTGGTATTTTAAAGAAGGTGGTTGTGCTGTGTTGAACAAATTCGCCAGAATGAGCTTCTTAAACTACATTCTTAGATAAAGTTTAAGGAATAATTGAAAAAACACAACTCCCACTGTTCTCCATATTCACCTTCTAAAATAGAGAAACCTCTCCGAAATGTAAGCAGGAAAAAAAAAACTCATAATAACTCCCTATAATTAAATATTGTTTCACTTTAATAACATTTTCTCAAAGCATTGCACCGGACAATCTTGATCATAGGTCTTGATGATGAGGAGAGAATTTCAAATCTATTGTGGGGAGTAACAAAAATGACCTTTTCAAATTGCACTAAACTTGACCCAATCCAAAGAGATTCCAAAAGACTGTATTTTCTCTCTATTTGGCCAATATAGCTTTGTGAGAATTAGTCCTAGTTATGAGATGGGGTCATTTTTTCACTTGCAGTTCCCTATGTGATATATATATATATTTTTTAATGCAAGCGGTAGTCTAAACTAGAATGGATGGATAAAACCCAAAGGTCTAGCACCTTGAAAATCAAATGTTAGTTGCTATATTGAATGAACGGATAAAATTAGATGGTGCTCCAAGCAACAAATACTTGGTTGATATAACTACGTGGTTCCTAACGAGAAAGATAATTTGCGCATTGAGTAACTTCTGGTTTTTTGGTTGTTGATAGTTGTGTCTTGAAGTCTTGCCGCCCTCCCCTCCAAGAGCAAGTCCACTTGTTGCCTCCAGCCCTGGCAGGATAGGGCCCAAGCCCAGGCGAGTGCTTTGTTGATAGTTGTGTCTTGAAGTCTTGCCGCCCTCCCCTCCAAGAGCAAGTCCACTTGTTGCCTCCAGCCCTGGCAGGATAGGGCCCAAGCCCAGGCGAGTGCTTCCAGCGGGCCAAGCTTGCCCGGGCAAGCTACGGGTCCCACTAGACCGAGCTAGCCCGCAAGCGAAACCAGCCCGAGTTCGAACCTGAAGGCAGCTGACGTCCGCCAATGGTAACATGCCACATGGCTCATTGTGGTCGCTCCGATGGTTTTTTTCCTCAAATCCAACAATTGTCCTCTTTTTTTTGCTTAAAAATCTGAAGAAAAATAAAATTCAAACTTTTTTTTTAAAATTACCAAAAAATTATGGAATTTTTTTTTTCTAATTACCAAAAAAAACTTATCCAAAAACAATATGAATTTTATAATAAATATTGACATGTGGGAACCGAAAATCTTCTCCAAATTAATTGTTTATGTAAAAAAAAAAAATTAATAACCAAAAGTGAATAGTATTTATCCTTTGTCATGGTAATGGGTGAAAACACACCTTACTTTTTACAAGGGCTGCCACTATTCATGTGAATAGTATCTGCCCTTGCCTCCCCTTACCCTTAGAGCAACTCCACCCATAAGGGCTAAGTCTAGGGCTAAGTCTAGGGCAAGAGCAAGCAAGGGCTGGCACTATTTATGTGAATAGTGTCAGCCCTTGCATTTGTGGTTCCACCCATGAGGGCTAAGTCTAGGGCAAGTCTAAGGCAAATACTATTCATTGTACTTTATTTCCTATTTTTTTATACTTTAAACCATTAATTTTGATAATCTTTTGTAATTAAATTTTCGGATAAGATTTTTGGTTGTCACATGTCCATTATTTTTCAGAAAAGATTTTCGGATGAGAATCTCGGTTGCCACGTGTCTTATTCCAGATAAAATTTTCAGATATTCATTAAAAAAAATTATAATCTCATATTTCAGATAAGATTTTC